TCCCAGGGACAGACATCCACCAATCAACAGCCCGTTGCCAGGCAGACTGATGGACGCGAAGGCGCCAAGACTCCGGCCAATCAAAAACTGACACGACCGAAAGTCCAATCAGCATCCTAGAGCCCAATTCTAACCATATATGGAAAGGTCCCGCCACTTCCGCATCCGCCAGGGTATATAAGTGTCGTCCCCCTCTTTCCGCAGGTTGCAGACTCCCGCTTTCCTCCTGCTCGATCTTGGGGTCTCTGCCCGGGAGCGATTGCCCAATAAAGCCTCTTAATATTCCGGCGCTCTCGTTGTCTTGTCGCGGCGTTCTTACAGTCAGTAACTGCTTTTCTTCTCAGTATGTCAGGAGAACATTCAGTACATAGTGTTTTTCAGGTCTATTATATCTTTCTAATTTTCTATTCATTCTATTAATTTTTGAGAGTTTGATATTGAACTTCCAACTGAAAATCTTTATCTACTTAAAAATAATTGTAGTATATAGTGGAACTGTGTGTAACTGTTCTGTATTTTCCAAATCTGCTGTAAATGTGTCATCATACTTCCATAATTTAAAAAAGAAAAAACAAAAGGAACACTGCCAGTTTCAAATACCTAGGCGTCAATGCTGCTTCTCTTTTTAGCACATTAGGAGAAAATTCAGTGTACAGTGGAATGCGTTGGTTAGTTCTTTTTCATCTGTAACCTGGAATGTTTGCCTCCCAAGGAATAACTCTTCTGTTCCCAGGCAAATGGTTGTATAGTTTTCTGTGCAGTTCATATAAAGCAGTTACAAGAAGCTGGAAGTTTACAAAAGTCTTCCTTACAAAATTAAAGGATGATTTTAAACTCCAAGGGAAAAAAAAATAACAGCTGATATGATGTGTGCTTCGACTTGACATGACTGAATGACTAACATACACACACACAATGTGTGATTATCTTCACAACCACCTTTGGTACTATTATTAGCCCATTCTGCCGATGGGGAATTCGAGGCACAGAGAGGTTAAGTGCCTTGCCCAAGGTCACACAGCTTGGATTTGAACCCTGCAGTTTGACTTGGTGTCTACTCTTTACTTCTGTCCCCCTGTGTATGTAGATTTACTTCCTCTATTCATGTCTTCAATTGCAAACTCCTATATCTAAAGAGGCAGGGAGTGAGAACATTGTAAGAAAATATTTATTTCTAAGTATTTTGAGAATCAAGTGTCTTGATATCGTGACCAGAATTTCCCCCTCTTCTTTTGTAGTGATGTCTGCTCTTCAAAAACAGTGGTTTCTTTACGCTGTATAGGTAAGTGATTCTTGGTTTTCTGTTTTGTATTTCTAAAATGGGATACACTTTGGTATCCCATTTGATATCAAAATCAAATGGTATCAAATTTGATACCTTACTGAACTGTATCCCAGTGTGTCTTTGGGGGACTTGGAGATAGAAGGTGGAGTAACGGGTCAGGACATGCCCAGCACCCTGCCCAAGGATTCCCGTTCTTGAATCTGGATACACTTTAGATACCCACTGCTTTGGTCCAAGAACCAGCTGTCCTCTGAGGACAGACAAGCTCCAGAGACGGACGGGCCCTCTCTGTGGTGTCCACATTGTGGGGCTGGAGACCCATGGGTGTTCCCATTCCAGTGTTTGGACTACTTACAGCTTCCAGCCTTTTTGGGCTTCCTGGTGGCTCAGACAGTAAAGAATCTGCCTGCAATGCAGAAGACCTGAGTCCAAGCCCTCTGTCAGGAAGATCCCTTGGAGAAGGAAATGGCAACCCACTCCAGTATTCTTGCCTGGAAAAGTCCAAGGACAGAGGAACCTGATGGGCTACAGTCCATGGAGTCACAAAGAGTTAGACATGACTGAGCAACTACCACTTTCACATTTCCAAACCTTTTATGGGCATGGAGGACACTGTCCTTGAGCTCCCTTCTCTGCTATGGCCCCATCCTCTTCCCGTATGGGTCTCGGGCCTGAAGCTTGGATTCCCAGTTTGAACAGGTGAAGCTAGCAGTCGCTCCGGGGTGAACACCATTCCCCAGTGGTCCTGGCATTAACTTCCCACACAGGTTGGTTCAAGCTTCTTTAGGTGCCCGGAGAGCATGGTGCCTGCCCTGCCCTCCTGCCCACACCGTCCACCTTGTGATGGTTTGAGAGCAGTGCATAGGAGAAAAGCTCTCCTTAGCTTTGTTCAGGACTCTTGGGGTCTCTGAGCATTCAAGGGGGTCCCAGGGCCTTTGTTAGCTGCCCTGCTACATGGGTATTTGGGAGATGCTGATGGAATCACACAAGTGCCAAGCAACAGGTGGTATCCAGGGCTATCAGAAGTCGTGCTTCCTGGGGGTGGCTGCGGAGGTGGGGGTGCGGGTGGTTTCTGGAGGAGTGTCCTTTGGCCCCCCACCCCAGCCAGAAGAGACCAGGCTGCCTATTCTAAGGTCAGAGCCCAGAGAAACAGGAACCAGAGGCGAGAATGGTCACCCTGCAGCCAGGCCCTAACCTTGGGATGGGAACTGTCTGGGCACACAGCGTGGCAGGTGTCCGGGGGAGGCGGGAAGGGGGCAGCAAGGGGCGCAGTGGGATTGGGCGGGGGCGGCCCTGCTTTGCTCACGGGCCGGCTGCGCTGTGCTTGTTACTCTCAGAGTGTGGCGTCTCCGTGAAGACGAGCCGCCAGAGCCGGATCGTGGGGGGATCGACTGCTTACTCGGGGGAATGGCCCTGGCAGGTTAGCCTGCACGTGCAGGGCATCCACGTCTGCGGCGGCTCCATCATCACCCCGGAGTGGATCGTGACGGCCGCGCACTGTGTGGAGGAGTAAGTCTCCAGGAGGTGGGGCCTGAGAGGGGGCGTGGCCTGAGGCAAGGGGCGGGACCGGGGGTAGGGGGTGGGGCCTGGGCTTCCGAGGTGGCTCTGCCAGAGGCCTTGAGCAAAGTCGCTGACTCCTGCAGGCTCTGGTTTCCTTGGGGACAACTGGGGCTTCTAAGGGCGCCTCCCTGGCGTCACAGGGAGGGTCAGATGACTTGTGAAGCACGTGAAACTGTGGCCAACACATCCCATAGCATGTGTCCATCGCTTTGAGTCAGCACAGGGATGCAATGTAGGGCTGGGGTGATGCTATGATCAGAAGGAATTCCAGTCCACAGTCTTCTCAGCTCAGTCCTATCACTTCCTGAGGCCGCTGCCCTCTCGACAGGTTTGGGCTCCCTGGGTGCTCATCCCCAGAGAGACACTCAGAGAAACTTGGAGACACTCAAACCTCAGGCTGTCCTGCTGGAAGGTTCTCTGTGACCCAGTAAGCAGCCTGGGTCCCAGAGTTTCCCATGCAGATGGTTGGGGGGTAGGGTGAGGATGGCCATCATTTGTAGTGTTAGCTTTTGTAGAAAATACTGTTCTTCCTCCTTTTTTCTTAAACAAGGAATTTTTTTGGTCACATGGATATTTTGAAAAAGCCACGCTCATGGGAGCTGTTTGTCGTGTTTAGAGTGATGCTGGGCCTGACTTGGCTGTTCCCTGGCTGAGTAGCCTCAGACAGTTCACTCCAGGTGTCTGACAGTAGCGTCTGCACCTGTAAGACAGGTGTGCTGCTTCGAGGGTTGTTGTGAGGGTTGAAGGAAGGAGTGTGTATAACTCACGAGTGTCCCTTCCTTCCATCCACCAGATTCCATGGGCTCTAAGACTAGGGATTTTCTTAGAAGGGAAGCACCCAAAAGAAGGTAGTGCCTGGGTGGTTATTAGACTCAGAGTCTACTCCCTGGTACACATTTATTAAGCACCTACTGTGTGCCAGGAGATGTTCTAGTATATAAAGATGAGTAAGACCCAGTCATGCTGGAAAAGAGGTTTCAAACCTCAGGGAGGCATTTAGATTCAAGAATAAGTGTTGTTGGGCTTCCCAGGTGGCGCTAGTGGTAAAGAACCTGCCTGCCATTGCAGGAAACATAAGAGACATGGGTTTGATCCCTGGGTCAGGAAGATCCCTTGGAGGAGGGCAGGGCAACCCACTCCAGTATGCTTGCCTGGAGAATTCCATGGACAGAGGAGCATTGCAGGCTATAGTCTATAGGGTCACAAAGAGTCAGACATGACTGAAGTGACTTAGCACACATGCATAAGTGTTCCTGGAATTGTGAGGGTTTGCAGGCTGGTACAGAAATACGGGAGGAACATGATTCACTGATGAAGTAAAGGAGAGGGGCGTGGGAGGGTGGGGCTGCGTAAGATGGGGAGAGAGAAGAGCCTGAGACCACCTGGCCATTCTGGTGTGGCTTCTGACAAGTCATGTCACCTCGGAGGCTGATGACTTTTGAGAACTGTGGGATGCGTGTTGTGTGTTTGCCATTCTTACACACTGAGCGGTGTTCGTCTCTGTCTTCCAGACCCCTTAACAATCCCAAGATCTGGGCAGCCTTTGCGGGAATCTTGAAACAATCTTACATGCTCTATGGAAGTGGATACCGAGTAGCAAAAGTGATTTCCCACCCAAATTATGATTCCAAGACCAAGAACAATGACATCGCTCTAATGAAGCTGCAGACGCCTCTGACTTTCAACGGTGTGTACCTGTGTTCTTCAGCCCAGGGAGTTTTGACAAAATCTTAAGAGGCTGACTAGAAATGAAACGTGCTGTGAAGACTGGATGGAGGAAATGTGCATTGAGTTACAGAGTGCAGGGCTGGGGGAGGCTTTGACTGTTAGAAGAGGGTTTGCCAGAGGCTGAGCCACCCCAGAATGTGCCTGTGGCCACTGAGCAATGTGGTCACCACCGCGTCTTCCCTCCACCACATAGTGACAACTAAGCACACATGTACATCTGCAAAAGTCATTTCTTCATCAGGGTCTGGCCAGTGACAGCTGACACTGTGCCTTTAATTGTAGTACACTGATCATTTACCTTCATCGTCATCAGTTTAGTCTGTAGTGTATGCAGCCCTGCCATGGAAAGTGTCAACTATTTGCATCACGGGACTGTTGACTGTGGACCTTCAGCTGTTGACTGTTGACCTTCAGTCTTCCCGAACCCTAACTTCCAGAGGAGAACTTCTTGGCTCTTAGAAAAAGGGTCCTGGCAGGGAGAGGAAGAGGATGCTAGGGCACATTGGAATCTAGAAGTCTCCTTGGGCCGCAGGGTGGTGGTCCCAGGCCCAGTGCATGCACATGGGAAGGTCCAGGTGCAGACCATCACCCGAAGCCATCAGTTAGACCAGACCCGCTCATTGTGTTTTCTCTTCATGAAACAGACAAAGTGAAACCAGTGTGTCTGCCCAATCCAGGCATGATGCTGGAGCCAACTCAGTCATGCTGGATTTCCGGGTGGGGGGCCACCTACGAGAAAGGTGAGTCTCCTGGCACAGGGTCTGCAGGTCCCATGAATCAGAGCATGGGTTCAGATGTGGGAGATCTAGGTTTTGATCCTGGTTCTACCACTGAATGATTGGATGACTTTTACGTGATTCACCCAGGCTATTTGCCTCAGTTTCTCTACATGCTAGATGGGAAAATCCTACCTGCCCTACCTACTACAGTGCCCTGATTAAGATTAAATTCAAAGACTTCCCTGGTGGTCCAATGGTTAAAACTTCACTTTCCAGCGCAGTGGGTGTGGGTTCAATACCTCATCAGGTAGCGAAGATCCCACGTGCCTCGTAGTCAAAAAACCAAGATATAAAGCAGAAACAATACTGTAACAAATTCAACAAATACTTTTTTTTTTACAATGGTCCACATCAAAAAATTAATTAAAAAAACAAATGGAACAGTGAGTGGAAACTGCTTTTTGGAGTGTAGAGGCCATCTAAATATGAGAGGCACATGGCCCACTGTGTTCAAGTCACATAGTCATTAATGGGCTGCCTGGAAGTCTGCCAGCCTTTGATGCTGAGGATAACAGTCTCAGTGAGGATGGGCCCGTGTGACTGGCAGCAGGTCATCAAAGCCTAGTCCTCCTGCCCTGACTGCACAGAGGGGAAGAGGCTCTAGACTCTCCTGACGCAGGCTGGCCTTGCTGCCTTCAGTTATAATTTGGTTTCGTCTCTGATAACACTTTTCAAATGAAGAGATCATGGCTGTTTCCTTTATATGGAGCATTGGATGTGCTTCAGTTCTGTTCAGTTGCTCAGTGGGGTCTGACTCTTTGCGACCCCATGGACTGCAGCACACCAGGCTTCCCTGTCAATCACCAATTCCCAGGGCTTGCTCAAACTCATGAAAATTGAGTCAGTGATGCCATCCAACCATCTCATCTTCAGTCGTCCCTTCTCCTCCTGCCCTCAATCTTTCCCAGCATCAGGGTCTTTTCTAAGGAGTCAGTTCTTCACATCAGATGGCCAAAGTATTGGAGCTTCAGCTTCAGCATCAGTCCTTCTAATGAATATTCAGGACTAATTTCCTTTAGGATGGACTGGTTTGATTGACTCTCAAGAGTCTTCTCCAACACCACTGTTCCAAAGCATCAGTTCTTCCGTGCTCAGCTTTCTTTATAGTCCAACTATCACATCCATACATGACTATTGGAAAAACCATAGCTTTGACTAGATGGACCTTTGTTGGCAAAGTAATGTCTCTGCTTTTTAATATGCTGTCTAGGGTGGTCATAGCGTTTCTTCCAAAGAACAAGCATCTTTTAATTTCGTGGTTGCATTCACCATCTGCAGTGATTTTGGAGCCTCCAAAATAGTCTCTCACTGTTTCCATTGTTTCCCCATCTATTTGCCATGAAGTGATGGGATTGGATGCCATGATCTTAGTTTTCTGAATGTTGAGCTTTAAGCCAATTTTTTCACTCTCCTTTTTCACTTTCATCAAGAGGCTCTTTAGTTCTTCACTTTCTGCCATGAGGGTGGTATCATCTGCATATCTGAGGTTTTTGATATTTCTCCTGGCAATCTTGATTCCAGCTTGTGCTTCATCCATCCCAACATTTCTCATGATGTACTCTGCATATAAGTTAAATAAGCAGGGTAACAATATACAGTCTTGCCTTTTCTGATTTGTAACCAATCTGTTGTTCCATGTCTGCTTCTAACTGTTTCTTCTTGACTTGCATACAGATTTCTCAGGAGGCAGGTAAGGTGGTTTGGTATTCCCATCTCTTTAAGAATATTCTGCAGTTTGTTGTGATCCATACAGTCAAAGGCTTTGGCATAGTCAACAAAACAGAAGTAGATGTTTTTCTGAAACTCTCTTGCTTTTTCAGTGATCCAAAGAAGGTTGGCCATTTGATCTCTGGTTCCTTTGCCTTTTCTAAATCCAGCTTGAACATCTGCAAGCTCATGGTTCATGCACTGTTTAAACTTGGCTTGGAGAATTTTGAGCATTACTTTGCTAGCATGTGAGATGAGTGCAACTGTGATAGTTTGGACATTCTTTGGCATTGCCTTTCTTTGGGATTGGAGTGAAAACTGACCTTTTCCAGTCCCGTGGCCACTGCTGAGTGTGTGGATGTGCTTAGTGGTATGTTTATAGTAATATATTGTTTACATCCTTCCAGAAGTGTTTAGGGCACACCTACAAGGAATTCTTTAAAGCAGGGGTCTCAAACCCTAGGCCATGGACTGGTGCTAGTCAGTGATCTGTTAGGAACAAGGCCACACAGGAGGAGGTGAGCAGCGGGTGAGCAAGCAAAGCTTCATTGTATTTATAGCTGCTCCCCATTGCTTTCATTACAACATTATCACAATGTAGTAATAATAGAAACGAAGTGCACAATAAATGTGATGCACTTTAATCATCCTGAAATCATCCCCCCACCTCCCTGGTCCATGGAAAAATTGTCTTCTACGAAACTGGTTCCTGGTGCCAGGAAGGCTGGTAAGGTGAATAGTACACGGGCAGGGTGACTTAGAGGGAGAAGGGAGAGATGGCAGTTGGGCTGCGTATCCTGGCATCTGGACTAGATAAGCTCCTGGGTTGATCCTTCCAGTTGTGAATAAGTTTCCCCAGCAGCTGAGACCAAAGGGAAAGTCAGCCATGATCTGTGGGGCACCTTCCAAGGGCTGGGAAAGCAACAGTGAGCAAATTAAGATAAAACCTCTGCCTGCAGAAGCTTCACATTCTCCTGTGGATGCTTGGGGGTGTGCAGATTGTGCTCAGATAGGAAATGAGAAACTAGGTGCTTTCAAATGGTGGAGGCTTGTCATAGTGAGGGGTGGTCAGGGAGGGCTTCCTGGAAGAGGGGACATTTGAGCTGAAATCAGCATGACAAGAATGTCTTAGGAACAGTGTGGCCAGGGCATGATGAACCAGGGGTGAGGGGGCAGTCTGGAGTCAGGTTGCATAGGTATTGTAGGCTATGATGATAGCACTAGCTTCTAATCCGAATGGGACAGGGAGCTGCTAGAGAGTGACATGGTTGGACGGCTAAGTAGGCACTCACAGAAAAGGTAGACGGCATGGTGAGGAGACCACTGCCACATCCTGCGAGACAAGAAGGTGGCTCAGACCAGGGAGGTGGGTGTGGGGGTAGGGGCAGAGCCAGCAAATCTGTTGATGGATGGAGTGTCATGGGAGAGTGAGGAGTCTCCGGGGTCCTGCTTCGTGCTCATGATCTAAGCCCCATGGTGGGGCATGGGGCCGCTTACCGACTTCAGGAGGATCAAGTGGTGTGGCTTAGGGCGGGGAAGCACTCCAGGAGAGGCCTTGCTTCAGCCCCCAAGCCCGCAGAGCCTTGCAAACATCTATGCAGCAGGTGGGTGACAGAGACAGCACGGACCTGCAAGTGGTTGGAGGTCTCCATGTGCAGGGAGCCGAGGGCAGGCAGTCAGGGGTGGAGGATCGCGTGGGGCTGAGAAAGGTCGGGGTGCTTGAGGTGGAAACACAGGAGCTCCCGGTGCCACCCTGGGGATTGTCCAGAGAAGAGAGAGCGGTGGAGGAGGAGAAGTGATCCCAGGGAACCATGAGGCTGGGCGATGAGCAGGCGACTCTAGGACACAGTTGGAGCTTGGTCCACAGCCCAGAGGCAGGTAGCCCTCCCCAAACACAATCTAGAGCCGCTTTAAACACATGCCCCAGCAGTTGAAAGCCGGCTCCGGTTGCCCAGGAGCCGGCTTGGGAGGAGTGGCGTGGTCACATGTCCACGTGTCCAGGAGGGAGACCAGGCTTCCTGTGAGAGCTGTGCTGTCCTTTGTTGCAGGGAAGACCTCGGATGACCTGAACGCGGCCAAGGTGCACCTCATTGAGCCCTGGCAGTGCAACAACAAGTACATGTACAACAACCTCATCACGCCCGCCATGATCTGTGCAGGCTACCTGCAGGGCACCATCGACTCCTGCCAGGTGATGGCCAGCTGGGCCCTGCCCGGCTCCCACTGGGCCCGTGAGGTGCACCCCTCCCGTGCCTGGGACCCGGGGTTGGAGGAGGCCCAGAGACTCTCCCTTCACCCCGCGAAGCCCTCATCCCACCTTCTTGCCCTCTGGCCTGTGCGGCTTGTGGATTGACTTCTGCTCTGTAACCTGCTGTGTCCCCCAGGGAGACAGTGGAGGTCCTCTGGTCACTCTGAAGAGCAGCATCTGGTGGCTGATCGGAGACACGAGCTGGGGGTCAGGCTGTGCCAAGGCGTACCGACCGGGAGTGTACGGGAACGTGACCGTGTTCACAGACTGGATCTACCGACAAATGAGGGTAACCTTTCCATCCTCCTGATCGGCTCCTCACTTCACTGTGTCAGAGCTCGGAGGTCTCGGAGGTGTGGGCCTGTGACAGGTGGCACCCCTCCCCGTATGCATTTGGATGCAAACTTCTGGGGCCCAGCTTTGCAGGGTCCAGGGCTCCCTGTGATGGGCTTGCTTCTGGCTCTAATAGCTCCATTCACCTACTCAGATGTCATTGCGTCAAACTTCTGGTGACGGGCAGAGAGCAGAGGGAGGCAGGTCTGCCAGCCGTGACCTGGCCCTGTCCTTCTCTGGGCTCTCATGGGCACCCAAGGGAGCAGCTGGTGTCTCTGGTACAAGCAGAGGGTGTGAGAAGGGAACGATCCCAGGGGTTCCTGGCGCCCCTGCTGCCTCTGGCTTCTGGCCTGGTGCATGATACTCAGCAGAGCCCAATCTTGGGTTCTGTCCAGATCCTGGGTGAGGACCAGATATCTGTCCATCGCCAGGGCCTTGGGACTGGGCAGTGCTCACAGATTTTGGCTCCTTCCAGGGCTAGGTTCCAGGTGAAAGTCCTGTCTCCCTCAAGTCTCCAAAGGTGCCCAGGTGCCAGGAGATGGGGCAGAAGCCGAGGGCACTGCCTGGTGAAGCCTGGCCTGCATCTCCCCTGAGCGAAAACCTAAGACCTAACACCTTCAAGGGACTTGGGGCCCAGCCAGTCCCCACGCTGCAAAGGGCCGAGTGCTGGAAATACATGACCCCCATTGTCCCATTGAGGGCTGCATGATGGAGGGAAGCTGAGAGGGGTCCTGGGGAGACTGGGGGGGAGGTGAGGCAGGCCAAGGGGTGACTCTCCCTTCAGGATGAGAGAGCAACAGGCACTGTTTGTCTAGGCAATGCTGGTGGCTCAGCAGCGGGAAGTGGGGGAGCTGAATGACGACAGAGGAGGTGGGGTAGAAAGCAGGACTAAGTAGACCCCGGATGACTTTCAGAGGCTAAGGTCATGCTTGGTTGGCCCAGAGATGCCTGTGTCAGTGATTGGACCCCCCCCCCAACATCCCGGCCCCTCCTATCCCCGGGGCTTTGCACATGCCGTTCTCCTCCTCTGTCAGTCTAACCCAACCTTCATGCTGTAGAAAAAAATATCCCTTTGTCTTATTTTGAAAATAATTTATTTATTTAATTCTTGGCTGTGCTGGGTCTTTATTGCTGCACAGACTTCTCTCGTGGTGTACACAGGCCTCTCATTGCAGTGGCTTCTCTTATGGGGGGGCTTCCCAGGTGACACTAGTGGTAAAGAACCCGCCTGCCAGTGTAGAGAGACATAAAAGACTCGAGTTCGATCCCTGGGTTGGGAAGATCCCCTGGAGGCGGGCACAGCAACCCACTCCAGTATTCTTGCCTGGAGAGTCCCATGGATGGAGGAGCCTGGCGGGCGTCGGTCCATGAGGTCACAGAGAATCCGGCGCGACTGAAGCAGTGTAGCTCGCACTCTTGTTGTGGAGCACAGGCTCTCGATCCCAGGCTCCGCAGTTGTGGTGCATGGGCTTAATTGCTCCGAAGCACGTGGTATCTTCCTGGATCAGGGATGGAACCCGTGTCTCCTGGGTTGGTAGGTGGACTCTTTACCACTGAGCCGCCAGGGAAGCCCTCCCTGTCAATGTAGGGGGAAAATAATTTTCTACCTTTGTTTGTCTTAAGAAAATAACATCATTTCTTTTTCCTTTTTGAACAGGCAAACAGCTAATCTGTACGGCCTGGGTCCTTGGCAACATTCCACAAGAAAATGAAGGGGCTGATTTTTAATCTTCATGCACTACGTATTTTTTGAAGTGATTCCAGTTCCTTTTGTATTTATTCGATCATGATCCTGTATGTCTTGGCCCTTTCCACAGTTCTGTGCAGACCCTGTGGCTCTACTACCCCCGGGCCCACCCTTCCATAACCTTCGTCTGACCAGGGAGGCTGGCTGGACGTGGACAGCAGAGCCAGTTCAGAGCAAGGGGATGGGGTCTGCCCCGCGGGGACCTTCCCTCGGGCCCCATTCCAGGGACCCCTCTTGGATGCACATGGGGCTGGCGACTTCTCAGCTGCTGGAAGTGGCTCTACTACCCCCGGGCCCACCCTTCCATAACCTTCGTCTGACCAGGGAGGCTGGCTGGACGTGGACAGCAGAGCCAGTTCAGAGCAAAGGGATGGGGTCTGCCCCGCGGGGACCTTCCCTCGGGCCCCATTCCAGGGACCCCTCTTGGATGCACATGGGGCTGGCGACTTCTCAGCTGCTGGACGGCTTGAGAAAGGAAGGGGGAAAGCCTGGCAGAACCTGCAGGGGCCAGCCTCTGGGGCCACTGCTCGTGAGGCCACTTGGGGTAGCCCCAGGGCCTGTCTCCCCACGAGAGAATTTGATGAACATTCTTGAGTGCCTTCTTAGCAGCCCAGAGCGCTGGCTGGAAATAAAGGGACCAGCTCTTCATGGGTGATGACTTGATAGCCACTTGAAAGGGGACCCATACCTTTTCTTTTGGGGGGTGTGTAGACAGAGCCCTGGGAACATATGTGATCACCCCCAGCATTGCTGGGGGCCCTCCACCCAGGGAGAACCGCCTTATTCTCCAGTCTCTCCCTGGCCTCCCTTGAAGATGGTGCAATGCCCTGGGTCCCCACTGAGATCTTCACCCCGAGTAGGGTGCCTGCTGACCCTCTTAAAGCCTGCTAATCATTCACCTGGAAATTGAGCTCCCCCAGGGAAATCAGGGATACTAATTAAAGAAACACTGTTTCCTGTAAAGCGCCTGCCTGTTACTACCTCAGTGCCCATGAAACCTGGGCTGTAGTCCTACTCTTAGCTTTCTGAAACTCCTGTTGCCTTTGCTTGTGTGAGCAGTAGCCGAGGTGAGCTGCTTTCACAAAGTGACTGCCCCCAATTTAATGTTCTGGAAATGTTGTTCTGAAGCCCAGCATCTGGGCTTGTGAGAAAGGAGAGAGGGGTGTGCATGGGCCTCCCCGTGGCCCCTTCCAGCCACTCCTCAAGTTCCCCTGCAGGGGAGAGTCAGGCTTCAGTGACCAAGTGTGAAGCGTAAACACGGGTGCTGTGACAGCCTGCCTCCTCTCCAACACACTGGTTTCGCAGAACGACTTGAATGATTCTGCACTAGGACTTGACCTTGGAGTGGAAGTCAGGGCGATCCGCTAGCAGGATGCTCGGGCGGCAGCATCCCCAGGGGCCATCCTGACCTGCCTGCTCCCGAGCCAGATTTTAAAAAGCGTCGAGATGGTGAGCAAGCATGCCTTCTTTAGTGCTGCTTTAATTTATGTGACCACTGTTTGTTCTCTGTTTTGTATCTTTTTTAAACTGTAAAATTCAATTGTGAAAAACTGTACCAATAAATTATGCATTTTTTTTTTCAAACGTGTGCAAGCAGAACCAGTCTGCATTTCCGCGTGGGGCCTTGATGTCAGGGCAGCCGCTGCGTGGTGGCTTGGCGGGGGTGAGGTCAGGTGGGGTGGGGCAGATGTGGTCTCCTGGCTGCCCTGCTGGCCCTCACAGCTTGTCCTGTAGGAGAGCAAAGTGCAAGTGTGAATGTGTTAATTGCTCAGTCATGTCCAATTCTTTGTGACCCCATGGACCGTAGCCTGCCAAGCTCCTGTGTCCATGGGATTCTCCAGTTAAGAATATTGGGGTGGGTAGCCATTCCCTTCTCCAGGGTATCTTCCCAACCCAGGGACTGAATCCAGGTCTCCTGCATTCCTGGCAGATTCTTTATCGTTTGAGCACCAGGGAAGACAGCAGTCCCCGACTTTTTGGCACCAAGTGTCGGTTTCATGGAAGACAAATTTCTCATGAACTGGGATGGTTCGGGTGGAGTGATGGGAAGCGGCCAATGAAGTTTCCACTCACCTCCTTCAGTGCAGCCTGGACCAGAACTGATCCTGGGGCCTGGGGCCCTGCAGGAAGAGGTAACCAAGCTTCTTAAGGAGCATCACCGTACCTCCCATTTCTCCCAGATACAGACCCTGAGACCCAACTCCCTTCTAGAACCCTCTGTGGCCCCAGAGTCCTCAGATTCTGCCTGCTCAAACTTGAGTCTAGCATCTCCTCCCCTAAAATTCCTGCGAGCTCACAGCAGCAGAGCTTCTTCCTCAACATGTGTCTCAGCCCCCCGGAGTTGTGACCACAGGTAGGAGAGACAGAGAGAGGGTAAATGTTTTCCTCCCTGGAAGAGAACTCCACTCATATTCTTCAAATAGCCCAAATCTGGCAGGTCCCCACGTGTAACAGGTGATTGGCGAGAATTGTCTGCATTATGTCAGTTTGTGTTAAAATTACAGTAAAAGTTGTAATAAAAAAGTAAAGAAAACACGTGTTTCGTTAGATCATATTTTTTTAAGATTTTTTTTTTTTTTTGATGCGGGCCATCTTTAAAATCTTTTATGCTACAGCTCCAATACTTTCTCCACCTGATGCTAAGAGCTGACTCATTGGAAAAGACCCTGATGCCGGGAAAGACTGAAGGCGGGAGGAGAAGGGGATGACAGAGGACGAGATGAGATGGTTGGATGGCATCACCAACTCAATGGACATGAGTTTGATCGCTCCGGGAGATGGTGAAGGACAGGGAAGCCTGGCGTGCTGCAGTCCGTGGGGTCACACAGAGTCGGACATGACTTAGCGACTGAACAGCAACAACAAAAGGGGACAAGTGGGGACAAGTTGGAGCAGGGGCCTGCCAGCCACCAGCCTTTGTCACCTGATCGCCATAGGGCTTTGTTTACTGTGTGTTTGCTTAAAGACACCTTATTGGTAGATACTGTCAGTTCATTAACATTGAACTCCTGGCCAGCAACCCCACATCTCACTCCTAAAGGATGCTTCTCTAGCACACGTGTTTTGTCTGGAGGGCACAGCCACACTTCCTGTGCTTAGGAGATTAGACAGCACTTCCCATTCTGCTTGGGACCATTTCAACATTGGCATCACCATCCAAAAATACAACAGTGCTAAACAACATGGCACTAAATAAAGTGAAAAGGATACTTGTTTACAGTCTGAGCTGAAACGGGAAAGCAGGGTAGCCATATTCAAACGCAGTCAGCAGCTCAATATTTTTGCTCCTCTGTTGATATCCACGAAAGCGCTGCTCGTGTTCATTTGGGGTAACAAATCAACTTTAATGAGTAGGTGGATCTACCGGTAAGGAATCTGTGAGTAATGAAGAGGGACTGTGTCCTAAATGTGTCCATGTGGCAGGGTAACTGACATCTTTTTCAGTTGTGTTTCTCATTTTGGAGTCTTTCTCCCATGAGTGGCTTTAATTTTGAACGAAGCTGATTTCCCTTCAAAGATCCAGCCAGGGGACTTTCCTGGTGGTCCAGTAGCTAAGAGTCTACATTCCCAATGCAGGGGGACTGAGTTTAACCCCAGGGTGGAACTAGATCCCACATGCTACAACGAGGATCAAAGATCCTGCGTGCGGCAACTAAAACCTAGCGTAGCCAAATGAATAAATATAAACAAACAACAGAGAAAGATCCAGCCTGAATGCTGAAACTAGGGAAATAGATATTTCTATAGTTAAACCTTTACAAGAGACATACATTAATTTGCTTAATATAAATTAACTCAAAATACTAAAGTGTACACATGAGTATTAAAGATGTGGAATCTGTTGATCACTTTGTGGCTTCTTGCAGCTGGGGAAGTAAGTGAGTTTCCAGGGTGGAGAATGAATTAACTTTGATTCAATTCTCACTGAGCTGTTATGAGGGGCGGGGGCGGGGGGTGGGGCAGTCCTGCCTTAAACTCAGGTACCTGGTCTGTTCTAAGCTCCTCTCTGGTACTCCTGGGGTTGCCCTGATCTGGCTCGAAATTCAGACTTTATTCTTCTGACCAAGGCTTCACCCTGGACCTGATTTTGTGAAGAGCTCCCCCCCACACACACACATATACTCCGAGTTGGAGTCCTATCCCATAGCCACAGTCCTTTTCTGCTTTGGACACAGAGAGGGTGATGTATGATGTGGTACAGGCCAGAGCTCTTCCCCCAGGGTGCCCAGTGTTTTAAGAAAAATGTGCAATTTATGCTACTTCCAAAGTAGTTCAGTTCAGTTTAGTCACTCAGTCATGTCCAACTCTTTATGACCCCATGGACTGCAGCACACCAGGCTTCCCTGTCCATCACCAACTCCCAGAGCTTGCTCAAACTCATGAAAATTGAGTTGGTGATGCCATCCAACCATCTCATCCTCTGTCGTCCCCTTCTCCTGCCTTCAATCTTTCCCAGCATCAGGGTCTTTTCCAATGAGTCAGTTCTTTGCACCAGATAGCCAGAGTATTGGAGCTTCAGCTTCAGCATCAGTCCTTCCAATGAGTATTCAGGACTGATTTCCTTTAGGATTGACTGGTTTGATTTCCTTGCTTTCCATGGGATTTTGAAGAGTCTTCTCCAGTACCACAGTTCAAAAGCATCAATTCTTTGTTTTGAAAAATCACTAATGTACCAGCTGTGCCTGCATTCTCTGACTCTCTGCAACCCCATGGACTGCAACCCACCAGGCTCCTCTGTCCATGGGATTCTCCAGGCAAGAATACTTAAGTGGGCTGCCATTTCCCTCTCTGGGGCATCTTCCCTGCCCAGATATCAAACCCACATCTACTGCATTGCAAGCAGATTCTTTACCACTGGGCCACCTGCAAAAGCCCATAATATACCAGCTATTTCATTTTAAATGGATTAACCCCATAAATATTGGTGTTTGAGCCATCGTTTTGCTGTGATTAAAGAACCTGAACGCATAATCCCCTGAAAATCCACTGATCACTTGGATCCACTGAACCTTGGAAAGCCAACATCAGTGCCCCATTAGCTGCTTTTAAGGCTTCCTGGTTTACCAGTTGGATTGGATTCCTTTCCTCCCACGTAGTAACTGACTGTGGGGACTTTCCTGGCTGGCTGCTTTTGCCTTTGCTCTTTGCTCCAAGAAGGAAAGTAATAAAGGTAGGTGCTCCATAGCATCTTAAAAGATAGTCAAGCAACCAGCAAGTCATCTGATGACATGTGCCTGGCATCTCTTATGCCCACTCCCTCCACAGCATTTATTAACCACCAGCAGACCCTGTGTTCTGGAAAACAGAGGCTTCCTGGTTGTCACTTCAATGTTATCTAGTTCCTCTCCTAGCTGTGCTCCAAACTCAGCCCCATACTTTGGGGTCAACTGAGCCCCAGACTTGCCTGGAGTGAGGGTCCCTGAGTAGGCATGGTTGCCCGTCCAGTTGAGTCTGCCCAGGTTGATGGACCTTCAAGCCGGTGCTGTGGAGCCAGCAGCAGAGTCTGGAGAGGCAGGCTCTGATTCTGGTGTTGCCCTTCATAGATGGAGATGGGAGACTGGGGTGGGGAGATGGGGGTTGCCTGAGCCCCACTGCCCTCTGAGTGATGGACTCACACAGAGTGGACTCCAGGGCTGCCTCTGCTTGGCTCCTCAACAGATAGGAGGGGAGACAGTGTACTTCTCCCCTATCGATGGCCAGTCAGGACAGATCTGAGGGATTCCTGGACACCTCACGAAAGGAAAATGAGCACCTTGTGAGTCCCCAGTGGGCTTGTCCCCCCAAGGAAATTCCTGATCTCTGAAATACTGTCGGCTTTCTTCCCCCATCTGTCTAGGAATCTCTAGGAAAACTACATCAGCAAAGAAGAATCCTTGGCAACTGTGACACCTCTGTTTCTGGTCGAGGCAGATTCTGCCGTGGGGGACTGGGCCGCCTGNTCGCATTGTCCCAAGCTTTGAGGATTGTGGTGTCTTGAGTGTCAGAAGGGGCCAGGGGTGGGGGTGGGGCAGGGGCTGGATGGGAGGGGACATGCAGCTAGTCTACCTCTTCCAACAAGCCGTTGGAGTGAGTGGACAGCTGTTGGCCTGCGAGTGAGTGGACAGCTCATGAGGCAGCCACTCCCCTTCTGGCTGGGTGTCTGCATGTCTGCATGGCTGCCTAGTCCAGGGAGGCCGGGCAGGACTCTTCTGTGCTCCTGGGCAACACGTGGTTAACATTCCGCCTTCTCACCTCCCAGACTAGAACAGCATCTGCTGTAAAATCCCCCCGGGTGGGCAGTGACCTCTCTCAACCTAGGCTTTCACCTTTCAGCTCCACACCAGGCGTCCAGCAATTAAGCAGCCTGGATGCTCGATCAGCACACAGTATAAACGACATATGCCGATTGCTTCCCCTTCTGTCACATTTCTTTAACTTTATTCCGCACTTCCCTTCTAGCCTTTTATGAATAACCCACCACGTTGTTTGGCTCAACCATTCCTTCTGACCTGACCCAGCACAGAGGGCAGCCTTAGCGTCCACTGATTGCTCCACAGATTCCCACCAAACGTCTCCCAAATACAGAAGGTGTCAGAGAAGCCTTTGTGATGTCACAGTGGATAAGAATCCACCTGCCAATGCAGGAGACACAGGTTTGATCCCTGATCTGGGAAGATCCCATATGCCTAGGAGCAATGAAGCCCAGGCACCACAACTACTGAAGCCCATGCGCCCTGAAGCCCGTGCACCGCAAGAGAAGCCGCCACAATGGGAAGCCACAGCCACAGAAGGGTACAGAGCAGTCCTCACTCGCCACACTTAGAGAAAGCCGGGGTGCAGCAATGAAGACCCGGTGCAAGCAAAATAACAATAAAACAAATAAACACCAAAAAAGAAAGTGTCAGAGAAATGTCTGGTAGAAAGAAGTTTACTACAAATCGAAGAAAGAGGCTTCGGTATGCATTCACAAACGTGGCACTCAGTCCTCAAACATGGCGTGTCAAAGGCTATTACAGAAATTGGAACGACCCGTCTACAGTGCTGTGTGGGGATCAGTAACTGACAGAGGGGTGGGGCATCGAAGGAAATCACCTGAAGCTTGAAGCCAGTGTGCTTATCCACTCGGAGACAGCAGAGACTGCGGCTACAGGGTGAAACCCGTGGAACGGGCAGCTGAGGGCGTGCGGCCGTCGGGGGAGCTGCCCCGCAGACCCGGGGCTGGGCGGAGGGTGGGCTCAGCCCGGGAACTTGGCGAGCCGCTGCCGCGCGCGGGACAGCCGCTCCAGCCGCTCCTTCAGGAACTTCCTCTTGTCTCTGGTGTCCGTGCGCTCCCTGAGCAGCCAGTCGTACTGGTCCTTGTTCTGGAGCAGCTGCAGCATGCTCTTCTTGAGCTGCTCGCCATACGTCCGCAGCATGAAGAACTGGATGATCAAGGGGATGTGGCTGGAGATGCGCGTGCTGACCTCCTGCGAGGAAGGAAGGCGCAGTGCACACGAGGGTCAGGGGCCGGGGCAGCCAGGAGACCCTGACTTCACCACGGCACCCCGGCAGGGACCCAGACCCCGTGGGCGCATAGTCCCCGCTTGGCTTTCAAACCCGCGCGCATCCTGTGGTCCGGGCAGCACCAGGCTAAGGACCAGCCTTGACTCCGGGCTCCCACCAGCCTCTCCTGACCACTAAATGGTTACTGCTGGTGGAAGAGGGCAAAACGTGCCCTAAGAAGGTAAATGCACGGAGCACAAAAACGACAGAGAACAGACCTGTGGACACAGTCTGTGGGTGGGACGAACTGAGAAGAGCATTTAAGCACATGCATCACCATGTGTAAAACAGATCGCTAATGGAGAGTTGCTATATAACACATGGAGCTCAACTCCATACTCTGCGACGACCTGGAGGGGTAGGATGGGGATGAGGAATGGGAGGGAGGTTCAAGAGGGAGGAGACATATGTGTATTTACAGATGATTCTTGTTGTATGGCAGAAATCAACATGACTTTGTAAGCAACTATCCTCCGATTAAAAACAAATTTTAAAAACCCTACATTTTAAAATTATTTACAACTCTGCCTAGAAGATTCTATAACTTCTTCTTTTTTTTTTTTTTTTTAAATCAAGGCTGAAATTATTTAGCACGAAAGGAGGTGGGCTCTCAAAAGCCACAGAAGAGAGCCCTCTGAGTTCTAAGCATGCTGGAACTTCAACTTTCCTTTCTCCCTCATCCTGAGGGGGTCCTTCCTGAGACAATACCCCCTTCCCACCTCACCCATGTCCTCTGCTCCCTTTTGGTCTATCAAAAAAATTTATCCAAAGAATAAATTTAACCAGATAAATGAAAAAAGGCAGACACCCAAATGAACTTTTTGGCCAACCCGATATTAATTTGCTTTACTTGGCTATTTTCCTTCGTTTCTGCTGGACTAGGCAAAGATAGAGATTCTCCCTCTAGACCCTCGAGAAGGCACCCAGCCCTGCTAACACCTTGACTTTAGTCAGTGAGGATCATACTTGATAGGAAAAGTGGAGAGTTCTCATTAGTCGGGACAGGGCAAGGCTGTCTGCTGGTCGACTGTGGTTTCAAGTAGCACTGAAGGGACCAGATGCGGCAAGAAAAGTTTGAGGTATAAAAACTGGAAAGAGCAGGGAGAGTGTAAAACCACCACTCTCTGCAGAGGGATGAGTGTTTGTTGGGAAAACTCAGGAGAAACAGATGTAAAACCACCACAGACAGTTTAAGAGAATCAGCATGGTTAACAAATGTAAGACAACATACAGAAATCAACAAACGAGATGTCATGGAAGAAAAGTCTCATTGATAGGAGGTACAAAGATGAGAAAAGAAGAATAAACTCCAGGTGTGTGTAGCACTTACCCAAAGAGAACTTTAAAACACTTCTGAGACTCCCCAAAAGGCTATTTAAGAAGGAACATGAGGGGTCTCCTGATGTTCTTGGATAAGAAATTTTTTAAAGGCACAAAGGTGTCAACTCCTCCACGGCAGGTAGAAATTCTTCTGAGGAAGGACTTTGGCCTGTGGTCTGCAGATTCAGCACCTGCCTGGTTTTCTGCATGGCTTGTCCTACCTACCTTGGACTTGATGAGCCAGCCTCCATAATTGCATAAGCCAGTTCCTTGGTTTATACTTATCGATATAAAACAAGCCCTAGCCTTTCCCCAGATATAATGGTCAGTTTCATGTGTCAGCTTGACTGGGTTGTAGATCCACTTATTCAATGGAACTCTTATCTAGTTATCACTGTGGAGATATTTTGTAGATGTGGTTAATAGTTCCACTCAGTCAACTTTACGTAAGTAAAGGAGATCATCCTCAAGAATGTGGGTGGGCCTCACCCAAGCAGGTGAAGGCTTTAATATCTGTGTATCTGTGTGTATTACTCAGTCTCAAAGGTTCTGCCAGGCAGCACTTGGGGGTGAGCTTGGCTGCAGGAGAAACCAGGGGGGCACAGGGCTGCCCTCTTTACTGGCTTCACACACACCCATGCACATCCCAGGGTCTGCAGAGTCTGACCGTTTGACCTTTGTTGCTCAGAGTGTATCCCCATCCAGCAGCATGGCATCCTCTGGGAGCCTGTGAAGTAATGCAGAATTGTGCCCCATCTCAGACCTGCCCCCCACCACCACATCTGCATCTCTGGAAGATCCTGGAGATGTGTGAGCATGGTTGGTGTGAGAAACTGCCTGAAGTGATGGAGACATCTGGTAAACCAGGAGGTTGCCATTTGTTTCCCTGTCCAGACTTTCACATACCCCCAAGCTCTGAGCTGTGCATCCTTCTCTAGATGAATTAGATGGACCCTCAAGTTATTCGAAATGTAGGGTGCATGCCCTACATTGCTCAGTCATGTCCAACTCTTGTGAAACCCTATGAACTATAGCCTGCCAGGCTCCCCTCTCCATGGGATTCTCCAGGAAAGAATACTAGAATAGGTTGCCATGTCCTCCTCCAGGATATCTTCCTGACCCAGGCATTGAACCCATGTCTCTTATATCTCCTGCAATGGCAGGCAGGTTCTTTACCGCTAGTGTCGCCTGGGAAGCCCAAAATGTAGGGTAGCAATCAAAGTACAAGTCTCTGTGAGCGGCAGCTTCTCTGGGGCCAGTGGTCACTGCCGTCCACACTCCTCCTGCTGAATATTCACAAGAACACTGGGAGGAGGTAATCACTTTACCTCCTTTTAGAGAGGCTAAGGCTCAGAGAGGTTAAATAACTTGACGGAGGCCACACAGTCAGCCCAAACCAGATGCAAGCGGCTCTAAGTAACAACCCTTCTCATGTCTGATCGAATTGCTCCTACAGAGGCTTACCAAGGGCTGAAAGATGGGGCTGGTGGTCCCCTTACAGAGACAAGACTGAAGACACAGGCTTTTCATTCTCAGAGAAAAAGAATGGATGAGAAGCACTGTCCCGAGACTAGCAGACTCACCTGGTGGTACGCGGTCAGGTGTTGGAAGATCTCAGCTGCGGAGGGCTCTGAGGGCTGGGATTGTTGAAAATGGTTTGATTTTTGCTTCTTTTCTTCTTCTGCCTCCTTCTCTCTGACCTGTTGCAATGCACGCCGGTACACCTGGTCCTGGCAGTAGACCAACTGCTCCATTTGGAAATGTAGTCGGATGGACTTCTCAGCTTCTTCTTCCTGTTCTAATCGAATGTCTTCAATTTTGGACTATAGCAAAAGAGAAACACAACAGAATTTCCATCGAGAAACAAATCACTGGGTCACAGGAAGATAGCTCCACTGCAAAGGCCACCTCTAGCAGGTGCCATCTAGAAGAGCTGGTGGCTTTGGAGCAGCCTTCTGTCCCCACAATAGCTTCTCTGGGCAGGGAGTGGGGCTTTCCATTCTGGGCCGAGGGTCAGAATTTCCCAGGAAGCCTGACCCACACAGATGACCAGACCTCGCATCCCCAGGGCCTGGGAACCTTCATGGGCTCTGTTCTCAGGCCTGATTTCCAGCTTTATTACTTTTCCCTTTTATATACTTTTCCATCTGAGGAGGAGGAATATTTTCTACCAGAGAACTCACAGGGATAAGATGGGGGCCAGATTTCATCAGTCAAATTCCATATATTTCATGTTCCTGGAGTTTAGAGGAACTGACTGCCAGAAAGTCAAAGAGGGGACCCTTTATACAGAAAGTTACCTGGACCCCCTGACTTCACTGAATGCCAGAGTATGATGTGTGATGCCAAGCGTGGTCCTAAATCTTCTTCTCTATGTTCCTTCTGACTCAAAGGGCACTCTTAGTCCTATTCTGGAGATGAGGAATCAGAGGTCCAGGCAGGTTAAGAAGCCCCAAGACCTCTGGCTTGCAAAAGGCAGAGCCAGTCTTCCCATCTCTGCTGGGTGCTGGGTCTAAGGTTGGCGTCCCTGCCAGATTCATACATTGAAACCCTAATCCTCAACAGGATGGCATTTGGAGGCTGGGGGTCTTTGGGAGGTAATTAGGTCATGAGGGTAGGGCCCCCACAAAGGGGTTAGTGACCCTCTGCAAAGAGACCCCAGGGAGCTCTCTTTCTACCCCTGCCCCCAGCCTCCTGTTTCGTGAAGACACTAATGAGAAGGCCATCAGCACCTCCATCTGTCTCCTGGACTATGAGAAATAAAATATTACGTGTCTGCAGTGGTATTAACTATGCAGCCCAAGCCAGGACAAGGGGGAGCCCCTGTTCCTAGATCAGATGAGTCTTTCCTATTTGGTTTCCTCAATGAGTTTCCAGATTCAGGACATTCTCTTCAGCCGCAACAGGGTTCCACACTTACTATGGCTCTCCTCTGTTCCTGAGACTAAATGTTTTCCTTCTGAATTTCTTTCTCTCTTTCTCTCCCTCTTACTGCCTTTAACGAGACATCACTGCTCATATCTTAAATTCACTACTGATCTTGACTATTTGCTTCTCCAAATACATAATAAAGGTTGAATAGTCTTAATCTAAGAAATCTGTTTTCTAGTGTCAGGCCTACATTTTTTTTTTTTTTTTAAGTAACTTAATGGTCAGTTTTACCTTGGCAGTTCGGTGGAGGTTGAAAAATTCACTAAAGTGTTTTCCTGAAACATATGTGAAGGTATTCCGGATTATATCTGGTGAAAGAAAGACAGAGATGTCCAGTCTTGTTGGAAGGTCCCATGACTTCATAAATTGCAAAAAATAAGAGGATAAAACAGCAGAAACAATTCACTGCCTCCCTCTTCCCCACCCCCAATCTTCTCTTTCTTTCTGAAGGAAGACGGTGTGCTTTCTTACCCAAAAACATCCTGGAGGAATTTTAAAAATCTAAATGTCTCCTGAAATATTTATCTGATGTTTAAATTTTCATCCCAAGTATAAATAGTTGCAAAGAATGCAATTTCTGTTGTTATAAATAGTTTAATATTTATAGCAAAACACATCACTTTTTAAAATACATCAATGGAATCTGTTATCCACTTGAAAGAAATAGGTGAACTCTTGTTTCAATCAGAAAACTTACATTATTTCATTTTATTTTGAAACTCATATTTCCACTTGACTTCCTCACAGAATGTTATCTTAGTGTGACGTACAGTATCTTTATGCTGGGAAATTTATTTTTGGCCACACTGTGAGGCACATGGGATCTTAGTTCACTGACCAGGGATTGAATACTTGCCCCTGTGGTGGAAGTACAGAGTCCTAACCACTGAACCAGTGCTAACCACTGGCTGCTATGCTTTGAAATGTCTTGGCTATATATTATACTTTTCTCAACAGAAATAGGTATATAAATAGAAAGCCTTGAAGTATTACACAAGAATTTCCTTTGGGACTGAATGAAGAATGCACAGTTGATCAACAAGACACAATTACAGACTTTAGTTTGTTGTTATTAAGCCCGAAGGAAAAATTTAATTAGAAATACCAGGGAAGCCAGCTCAGTGGATAAGAGTCCATCTGCCAATGCAGGGGACGCAAGTTTGATCCCTGGTCCAGGAAGATCCCACAAGCTGAGGAGAAATTAAACCTGTACACCACAACCACTAGGGCCCCCGAGGTGCAGCTATTGATCCAGCGTGCTGCACCCACTGAGGCCCACAGGCCCTGGAGCCCGCGCCCCTCAACAGGGAAGCCACAGAAAGGAGAAGCCCGTTCACGGCGACTGGACAGCAGGCCCCACTTGCCGCACCTGGAGAAAGACCACGCACAGCAAGGAGGGAGACCCCGTGCGGCCAAAAATAAATAAAAGGTCAAAGTGGAAAAAAAAAAGAAACACATGTCTTATCAACTGTGAAAAGGCTGTCCTTCCTTCAGCCCTACGAGTCCACAGATCCTCAAGATGATGACTTGATGCTAAAATGAGACCATTGAAGCCTGAGTGAGGAGGGTGTTGGCCAAGGAGATGACAGAGAAGGGATTCAGGAAGCTCAGAGCAGTAAATAGGAGACCAGGGAGTGAAGATTCTCGAGGAGAAGTGGGTGGTGAGTACTGTGAGGGACTGTGCTTCTCCTCCACAGAGCCGACGTGGCTTCTGATTGGCACGTGACCACACTGCCACCGTCTCAGGTTCATGCCGCACTTTAGAGGATCAGCCCACTCCCATAATGTACAGCTGTTTAGTCAACCTTACTTCTCAGAGATTTCGAATAAACAATGGTGTTTTGAGATTGTGAAGTATGCAAAGTGGTGGAGTAGAGGGAGGTGAGGTATGATAAGAAACATACATCTGGTTCTTGTCCCTGGTTCTTAACACAGAGCTCTTAAACCCCTTAGAATATCCTGGGTGACAGGAGCATCACTTGTTCTAACGAGGTGGCCCTAGACAGCTTCACGATGGGGCTGGTCACCAGAAAGACCAAGCCTTTGATTAGAAGCCTGGAACTTCCAACCCAGCTTCCCCCTTCCCAACTTCTGGGGGTTAGGGGAGGGGCTGGAGATTGAATTAAAAATTGATTATGCTTCCATGGGATAATTGATTGTGTGTGTGTGGGTGTGGGTGTGTGTGTTAATAGCTCAGTCATGTCCGACTCTTTGTGACCCCAAGGACTGTAGCCTTCCAGGCTCCTCTGTCCATGGAACTCTTCAGGCAGGAATACTGGAATGGGTTGCCATTCCCTTCCCAAGGGGATCTTCCCGATGCTGGGATCAAACCCAGGTTTCCCTCATTGCAAGCAGACTCTTTACCATCTGAGCCAGGGAAGCTGGATAATTGATTATACCTTCATAAAAACCTTTAATGACCAGGCTCAAAGATAGCCAGGCTGGTGAACATGACCACATGCCAAAAGGGTGGTCCCGCCCTCACCACTCCTCCAACAGAAGCTCATGTGACAGAAGCACATCACACCCTATGCATATCTTTCATTTGCAACCTTTCATTGCAACCTTTCATTGCAAACTTTCATTGCAACCTTGCAATCTTTCATATCTAACACCAGTAAACTGGTGTGTGTGTGTGTGTGTGTGTGTGTGTGTGCGCGCTCACTCAGTGCTGTCCCATTCTTTGTGATCCCATGGACTGTACTGTCAGGCTCCTCTGCCCATGGGATTCTCCAGGCCAGAATACTGGAGCGGGTTGCCATTCCCTTCTCCAGGGGATCTTCCCGACCCTGGGATGGAAGCCCCGTGTCTTTTGCAGCTCCTGCATTGGCAGGCAGATTCCTTTACCACTGAGCAATCTGGGAAGCCCCACTAATAAACTTGTAAAGGTAAGCAAATCCTTTATAGCAAACCAGTGAAGTAGAGTGTGCTCCTGAGTTCTGTGAGCTGTTCCAGCTGAGTATGGAACCCCAGGACTGGGCGGTGGGAACTGTGATTTGTAGCTGGTCACTCATCAGTACAGGCGTCTCAGACACGGAGCTGCCATCCACAGAGGTGGGTCTTATGAGCTGAGCCCTGAGCTGTGGGTCTGTGCGAACTCCAGGCAGTTAGTGTCAGAAGGGGAATGAATTGTTGGACACTCAGTTGAAGTCTGGAGAAGACTGATTGGGTTGCTTGTGTCGGAAAACACCCCAGCAGGAAATATTGATAAAATGCCTAAAGTAAAACCAAGAACCCACCTGTCACCGTGTGCAGCATGTCCACAGCCGGCTCTTCCAGGATTTTGACCTGCTTTTTTATGATGATCTCAAACGTCTTGTAATTCACAAACCCTGGCAACTCTCTGCCACGATACCGATTTTCAAATTGCTTGATTTCTGTAAGTATGTCTTTATAACCTACAGAAGGAAAGGATAGGTCTGAATTATTTTGCAGAAATAACCTTGCTGGTTTGGCCGAACACAGTAGCATACTGAACTTCCTGAAAATACAGAGGAGCAAGAAAAAAAAAATCAAATCTGATTTTCAAATTGAAAAAGATTCAAGGATTGCAATAAAGAAACAGATTTTGAGAGAACTGTCCTTAGTCATCTCAAGATGGCACGTGTAAGCCACAGAAGGACATCGAAAAATAGCAAATGCAGAAACTTACTAAGACAGAATTTTTAAAAATTTTGGTTTCACCCCACAGCATATGGGATCTTAGTTCCTTGATCAGGAATTGAACCAGGGCCCCCTGCATTGGAAGGTGGAGTCTTAACCACTGGACCACTAGGGAAGTCCCAAGACATTCTGGAAAAGGTAACTTGAGTAGGAAATTTGGTAAATTAAATTTGATTTTGTAAAGAAAACTGTATCATAGAATACTATGACCTGCAGACACTTTAAAAAATAGAAATGGGGACTTTCCTGATGGTCCAGTGGTTAGGACTCTGTGGGCACAGTGCAGGGGGCGAGTGTTTGATCCCTGGCTGGGGAACCAGGATCCCACATGCCACTCGAGGTGGACCCACTAAAAAAAAAAAAATAAAGAAATGACCATAACGCCAGCTGGAATCAGTGACTCAGCACATATTCCCAGGTTGCAGCAGGAGTAAAACCTATTTATAAACCAGAGGGATAATACAGTTGGATTATTAATGTGATATGGTATCACTGCTTACCACATAAAGCACTTAATTTTTTCTCTATATTCTTGGAATTCCTTTTACTCTAAACAAACTAGGGTGTAAAGAACCTCCTGCATGGGGTGGGGAGGGGAGGATGATTCAGAAGAACTAAGGTTCCTTCTTTTTGAAGAACTAACCAGGGATGGTAGCCTAGTTACCCTCTTTTGGTCAGGAGATACTTTCTCAAAGGTATTTAAAAAAATTAAGATGTCATTCACATACCATAAATCCACCATTATTAAAGTATATGTTTAGTATATTCACAAAGTGGTGCAAACATCACCACTATCTAATTCTCAAGCATTTCCACCACCCCAGGGAACCCTGTTTCCATCAGCACTCACTCCCCATTCCCTCTACCCAGCCTTTGAAACCACTAATCCACTTTTTATTTCTATGGATTTTTATGTTTCTATGGATTTGTATGTTTCTATGGATTTGTATGTTCTGTACATTTCCTGTAAATGGAATTGCACATCCTGTGGCCTTTTGTGCCTCACTTCTTCCACTTAAAGTAAAGGCCTCTCTAGCACGTGTGAGATGGGATCTCATTGTGGATTTAGCTTGCATTTCAGATGGCTGACAATATTGCGCATCTTGTCACATGCTTATTAGCCATGTGTGCGTGCGTGCTCAGCTGTGTCTGACTCTTTGCCACCCCATGGACTGTAGCCCCAGAGGCTCCTCTGTCCACGGGATTTCCCAGGCAAGAATACTGGAGTGGGTTCCCATTTCCTCTGACATGGGATCTTCCCAACCCAGGGAGGAAACTCATGTCTCCTGCATTGGAAGGTGGATTCTTTACCACTGAGCCACTGAGAAGACAATCTTATTAGCCATACCTGTATCTTTTTTCTTTTCTTTTTTTTTTTGAGGAATGTCTATTCCAATCCTTTGTCCATCTTTAAACTGAATTATTTCTCTTTTTGTTGCTGAGCTGTAAGAGGTCTTTACATATTGTAGATACTAGTGAGTGAGAACTAAGTCGCGTTAGTTGTGTCCAGCTCTTTGTGACTCTATGGACTGTAGCCCACCAGGCTCCTCTGTCCAGGGGATTTTCCAGGCAAGAATACTGAACTGGGTTGCCATTTCCTTCTCCAGGGGATCTTCCTGACCCAGGGATCAAACCCACGACTCTTAGGTCTTTTGCATTGCCAGGCAGGTTCTTTACCACTAGCACCACCTGGGAAGTGAAGTCTTATAAAGACTACACCCTTATCATATACATGTTTTCAAACACTTTCTCCAATTCTTTGGAATGTCTCTCCACTTTCTTGATCATGTTCCTGGATAGTGTTCTTTGATATGCACACAAGTTTTAAATTTTGATGAAATCCAACATATCATTTTTTTCCATGTATTGCTTCTGCTTCAGGTATTCTAGCTAAAGAGACCACTACCTAATCCCAAGGTCACAAAGAGTTTTACAGTTTTGGCTGGTACACTTTGGTTTTTGATCCGTTTTGAGTTTATTTTTGGATAGGAGGTGCATGAGGGGGTCCAAATTAATTCTTACATTTGGGCACCCAGTGATATGGAACTGATCATTTGTTGGGAGGAATTTATCATTTAAAAAAAATGAGCCATTTTTCTCACAGGCTGTCTGCCATAAGCACTTTTGCCATGAAAACCTGGCCAGGCAACACCACGAGGGAGCTTCTGGAAGCCAAAGACTGTCGTTTTCTTTGAAAGGGGTTTGCAGGGTGCTCCCCCTCCCCGACATAAGAACACATTGCACAGCCGGTGTACAACTCTCTGCTCACGGACTCAGCTTCTCTAAGCAGCACTAGGGGGAGGCAGGGGACGAGGTGGTTGGATGGCATCACAGACTCAACGGACATGAGTTTGTGCAAACTCTGGGAGATGGTGAAGGACAGAGGAGCCTCGTGTATTGCAGTCCACAGGGTCGCAGAGCATCGGACACGACCAAGCAGCTAACCAAAAGCAACACGTGGAACAAAGACTGTGGACACATGCCAAGTGACCGGCCCAGGAATGAGTGTCCTGGACTGTGGTCCCCAAAGTTCACACCCTACACTACCCTCTGTGCCCTCTGCCAGGGAATAAAGGTGCAGCCTCTGAATTATGCAGAAACTCCCTTGATTTCTCTCCCCATGTTCATTACTCAAAGCCAAGGAGGACCGTCAGTCTGAACCGCTGCTCAGTTTAAATAAATCATGAAACCACCACCACCCCCCCACCACCATCAGATTGTTGGAATAAAAGCAAATTGAAATTTCCCTCAGCTGCTGCAGTTTTCTCATTGGTCAATATATGATTTAGTTTAGGCTTCTTAAAATAGTAAAAAAAAAATTAAGTTTCAGATCACATTTTCTACTTTTCTTAGACTCTTGAGGATTTGATGCTGCAAGGTGGTACCCAAGATGCTGTTGCATTTTCTCTTCACCACTGCAACTGTAAGGGCTTCCCAGGTAGCACAGTGGTAAAGAATCCACCTGCCAACCTGGAGACAAGGGTTTGATCCCTGGGTTGGGAGATTCCCCTGGAGGAGGAAATGGCAACCCATTCCATTAGTCTTGCCTGGGAAATCCCATGGACAGAAGAGCCTGGCAGGTTATAGTCCATGGGGTTGCAAAGAGTCGGATGACTGAGCAACTAAACAGTCACTATAAGATCCATTACAGGACACATCAGGTTTCAAGGCCTCAGTGGATTAACCAAGATGGAACCTGGGTTATTTCTGGGGCAGCACCATCGGGAACCTAAAGGGCGTGATACACATGGCAGGCTCACCTGCTCACTATTGGGGGAAAACTGATTCTTCCAAGAGTCATGATTGACATGGGCCATTGAATCCGCATCTTCTCTCTAGGTGTCCTCTGAAATCTGTACCTGACGCCTGCTGGCCAGAGTTCAGGGACTTGAAACAGCACATGTGGTTTTCACACTACCAAGTCCTTACTCTGACTGTCCTTGACCACCGTCATCACCCACCTCCCCCAGCCTTGGATTCAGCTCAATTTGACGTGTTTACCGTGGTGCCTCAGGCTCACCTTGCTGGAAATTTTTCTCAACCACAGAACTCCATTTGCAGAACTCGGCTCGTACTTGGGTAAACAGTCGGGACTCAAGCGGCCCCACAAATTCCTCCCCTTCTATTCTTGAGATGATATCTTTATTAAATGTATCAATTTTCTGCCAAGAAGAAAAAAAGAATCAGCAGAGATAACTCTAAACAGAGCAAGGTAGTTTGGCAGTTGTGTGCATGCAGAGAGTGGGTGAGTCCCTCTTTGCTGTATCTCAGGCCAGGTGGGAGGACAGGAGAGAAGAAGCTTGGGCAGCAGACAACCCCAAATCCCCCTCACTGCCTGGGGGGTCCCCAGTGAGGGAACGCACTTGAGGAAGAGCCAATAGCACACATGGGGTGGTCCACCACTCCCTGCCCTCTGTCCTCTAACTCTGGGCCCATTTTGGTGCTAAGTGGACAGAATGAATTCGAATCAGCTTTAGGGAAGTGAAGACGGATGAGCGTGGCGCCCATAATCCCTGTGGACAATGATGCACGACTCCCCAGCGTGGCACTGCTGGAGGTTCTCACCTCTATCAGGGAGAACATTTTCTCACTTTCTTCTTCTGGGATGTCCTTGCCATATTTCTGTAACTCTTCTGTTATTCTCTGGTGAGTCTCCTTTATTTGATTTTCCAACAGGGGCAGAGTTTTCTGAGGAAAACAACAGAAAGACATAAACATGAAGAGAGAATGGGCTGCAGTTGTTGATGGGGAAAGACTAGGGTTAGGCCAGTGCTTGCAAGAAGCTCATTTTAAATTAGGCTGGGTGGGTAGTTTATCAGTGTCCCACTCAACATGTGGTCTTCTGACAGGCAAGAGCCACACCCCCTGGGAGCATCCCAGGCCACATCCACACCCCTGAATCTGAGCCCACATCTTAACAAGATGTCCAGGAGATCCATGTGTGTCGACATGGTTTAGCTTTGCGCTTGCAAGACTCTGTTCAGAGTCTGTTCAGCTCTGCGTGCACTTACACAAATGTGCATGATGAGTTCATTGGTCAGTCTTTCTGCCAGGCAGGGGACAGTGGCCCTCCCTTCCTCCAGAAGTTCCCTGCAAAGAGAAGACAACATTCATGTCCACCTGGGTCTAGCCAGAAAATGCAGGTTGGCTCTCTGTTGCTGGGGAAAGCCAAAGTAAATACAGTTACTTCCCACTGGATGGCATGTCCTGCAATTGGATCACACAGAATTATGATTGAATTTTTGTAACGTTGCATATTTTGAAAAAACTGTATAGAATGATCCCTTCAAGCTGATATATTAAATGTGTCTTATGACATCTGACTATAAATGGTCTTTATAAAAATTCACATATCACCTGGAGATATGTTTCCATAGCATGCATATGCCCTTCTGTATACACAGTGCGTACTGGTATTGGGCTTCATGAAAATATAGTGACAGATATTTACACAGGTGCATGGATGAAGCCTGAACTGGGGGACCCACCCTTCTCCAAAATGAGAACTTCAACCATGAGCTGCTTGGGGAAGGAGACCAAGCCTTCCTCTCACTCTTTCCAAATATGTGTTTGTAGAGTGAGTTACTACACAGTTTTCCACATTTTAAAAGACTTTTTAGGATGAAGGGCAGCCAGGAAACATGAGTTCACACACATCGTTGCAAGAGTACACTCATACCTAAGTTTCAGCTTCTGTACCTGTCGAATTTTTTAACTGTGGGAAAATATGCATAACATAAAATTCACCACTTTAATAATTTGTAAGCACACATGTGTGAGCTAAGTCACTTCAGTTATATCTGACTCTTTGCGACCCCATGGAAGGTAGCCCAACCAGGCTCCTCTGTCCATGGGATTCACCAGACGGGAATACTAGAGAGGGTTGCCATGCCCTCCTCCAGGGGATCTTCCTGACCCAGGGATCAAACCTGCATCTCCTGCATTGGCAGGTGAGTTCTTTACCATGAGTGCTGCTTGGAAAGCCTGTAAGCACATATTCAGTGGTATTAAGTACAATGACATTGATGTGTGACCATCACCACCATCTCCCTCCAGAAACAGCTCATCTTCCTCACCTGAAATTCTGTTCCCATTAAGCATCTCCCCATCCCCTTCCCCAGGTCCTGTCTCTATGAATTTGACCCCTTTAGGGATCTTATATAAGAGGAATCATACAGTATCTTTTCATGACTGGCTTATTTCACTAAGCATAGTGCCCTCAAGGTACAGCCATGTTATAGCAGGTGCTAGAATTTTCTTCCTTTCTAAGGCCAAATACTATTCCATTGTGTGGATGGAATTTTTTTTACCCACTTTGGATAAACATTGTGTTTATCTATTAGTGGTCACTCAGGTTGCTTCCATGTTTTTTTTAAGCTATTGTGAATAATGCTGCTATGAACACAGGACTGCAAATATCTCTTCTGAATTATGCGTCTCTGCAGGCTTCTGGGAACATCAAATACGATAATGTTTACAAAGGGCACACGTCTCCTCCTACATACACATGTGCACACACAAGGGATCTCAGTGAATGTGTCACTTTTTTCTCAACATCTTATAAGAACCTTTTTATTGGCATCTCCTTGGCACAGCACTATAACGGTTGCCAGCACTGTGATCTCTCATTCTAGTTTGTCCCTACAAATCCCATGATTTTCAACATGTACATTCCACAGTCTTCACAATTAAAAACAAATCTGTGCTGAGCACGCTTTAGGGGACATTACTGAACACATCTCTGATTACTTGACTGTGTGGAATTCCTAGAAATGGAACTCAGCCTTAGGGGCACCTGGGTGATCTCAGCACACGCTATAGGCAGCACAGATGCAAGCCCACACCCCTCCTTTCCCACCAACTCTACGCCTTCTCATTATTTCAAAATAACCAATTTATCAGTTTTCATCATTTTTTTAAAAAATTTCATTTTGGCATCAGGGTTAGAAAGGCCTTTATCCTGGGATTATTAATTCTCCACCTATATTTACTTCTGAGAAGTGGTACTTTCTTTGTACTTAATTTTAAACTTCCACTGATATTTGTTTTGGTGTCCCATGTTAAATAAGGACAAATTTAATTTTCCCCAACTATGAAATGATTATCTCAGTCCCACTGATTGATAAACTGACAAAGCCCAGAAATTTGAAGGGCCACATTGATCACAGGCCAAATGTATGTATTTGACTCTATTTCTGGGTTTTCCACTCTGTTTCCATCCTGGGATACTTATGTTTATATTCTGTTTCCAGAACTATAATAAGTTATTGCAAAAAGTCTTCGCCTTCCTCTGAAGTTTTAGATTTATTTATTCTTTGCCTACTTTGTGAATTCCTACTTCACTCTTCCAGGCAGATTCCCCACGGTCATAGTAAAGGAACAGACACACACGGATACTCTCAACAGCCGACCTTGAACAGCATGCATTTCTCCCATGAGGAAGGAGGTCCTTAACTTTGGTTCTCCCTGAGAAAGCTCCATGCACATACCTGAAATGTGCGTGATCCTCGAAGAATGCCTGCTCTCTCTGCAGGGCCTTGGCCAGGCTCAGTCGATTCTGGATGTCCTGCTGGCCACGGCACTTGACGATCATGTAGCCCTTCTTCAGGTGGAAGACCAGGTTTCTCACCACGTCCACGACCTTGTCTTCCGTGCCTTTGTCCACCAGATCAGGCTTTGTCAAGATTCCTGCAACCCAGAGACTCTGTCAGGGTGAGGAGTAAGGTCAGCTCCCCTCCTGGGGAGCGAGGTCCCCTGGCCCTGGGCTTGCTCCCATGCTGGTTGGGGCAGACAATGCAGCTCGCCTAGTGAAGGTGCGAGGCTCAACCCCTATGTGCTCCTGAAGTGCACTGCGCCCAGATCTTGGCTCTCACGCCAGAGAGATAGCAGCATGTAATGGCCCGTTATGTTCCTCCTGACCAGCAGAGGGTTTCACTCATGCAGTGGGTCTCAAACTTCCCTGTGCATCTGAGCCACCTTAAGGCCCTGCTCCAGAGATTCTGATTCAGGAGATTCGGCGGGATCAAGGGACTTGCATTTCTAAAAATTCTTCAGTTAATATTGGTGCAAGTGGGGCCTGGCTCACACTTGGGAAAATAAGGGTCTGACCAGGATCAGCTAGGTCATTTGCAGGACCCACTGCAAAATGAAAATGCAAACGCCTGTTTAAACAAGTATTGCAAGATGGCAGCATCACAACATTGCGCCAAGCAAGGACCCATCTGCATGTGAGGCGCCATGCGGTTGTCCAGCTCAGGATTAACTCTGAGGTTTACTGTGCCCACTTGTAGCTGCAGCCCTGGCTGAGAGAGTCTCATCCCAGGCAGGATGGGCAGCAGAAGAAGCAAAGAATGAGAACCTGACGCTAGGGATGGTGGAGCAGAACGTGGAAGGGACTGACAGCATCACTGGTACACAGGTGAGCAGCCTCTGCCCAGACTTCTTGTTAGGTGTGAAAATAAATTGCTGTTTGTTTCAGCCACTGTCCTCCAGCTCTCTGCTATTTACAGCCAAATGCATTTTTTCAAACATAACATTTTAACTCTTTTCACATGCACATTTCAGGTGCGTGAAACACTTTCATGTGGTTGGGCAACCTTGACCACTGTTCATCTTCAAAACCTTTTCATCTTCCCCAGCTGAGACTCTGTAACCGCCAAACACTAACTCTTATTTCTCCCTTCCCCCACTTGACTTCCTGTCTATGAACCTGGCCACACTAGATCCCTCATATGAATGAGATCATGCAGTATTTGATCTTTGACACTGGTTTATGTCATTGAGCACAATGTCTTCAAGGTGTCAGAATGTCCCTCCCTTTTAAGGTTGGATACTATCCCATTGTGGGCTTCCCTGGTAGCTCAGCTGGTAAAGAATCTGCCTGCAATGCAGGGGACTCTGGTTTGAGTCCTGGGTTGGGAAGATC